GGGGGCATTCTGTCTTAGCAGCCGTTCTTGGGGCAATCAGACAACTTTTTTATTTTTAGTTTAGCCGTAAGCATCTGGGCAACGGACTACTCTTGTGTTTTGTTTTAAATTTTGGAGACAGGGTCTCTCTCCTGGCAGCCTAGGCTGGCCTCAAACTCGCCAGGATCCTCCTGCCTCAGCCTCCGGAGCGCACGGATTACTGGGATTATGAGCCTCCCAGCCTCCCTGCTACTCCTCCCTGCTAGGGGGCCATTCTCCCTTACGCAGCTGTTTAGGGGAAGACGAGACCAGGGTGACAAGTTGAGAGGCACCAGCTGCCTCAGTGGTGGCCTGCAGGCACCTGAAGGTGTTACAGAAGGCACTTTGGGGGGGGCCTCAGTTTCTCCCTTGTAAAACGGGGAAAGATAGGGCCACCTCAAAAGCTCTCTGTGGTGGAGACACAGCGTCTGGCTTCCCCGGACAAGGGCAGGTGGGGTGGGAATTTGTCCCAGCCTGCCTGAGCTGGTGAAGATTGAGGGGGGTCCCCCAACCCCTTCCTCTCGAGAAGGTGTTCTGTTCCTCATCCTCTGTCCCTGGGGAAGTCCGAGCAACTTCTGTTCAGGGGAATTCCAGAAACTTCTTACTCAGGGCCTGAAAGCTGAGAGGTGGGCCGTCCCAGCCATTCCCCGGCTCTGCCCTCCCCCAAAAGCCGGCCAGTGGGGGAAGTGTGGGGCAGAGGTTCCACTTGGGAGAGTGGGAAGTGGACCTCTTCATTTACCACAGCAACCAAAGATACCACTCTGGACTGCCCTCCCAGACCCCTGCTTTCCAGTTCAGTAATCGCTGCACTCCTGGCCTCCAGTTTCCTTCTGTGAAATGGGAATAATTCCAGAATTACAAGCAAGGAACTTCTGGTCACTAGGGTCAGCCAAGCTGAGGACTGGAATCTTTGTGGTGGGGTTGGGGGCTTAGTAGTTTTCTTAGTAGTATTAGGAGACCAGTATCTTGCTACGTTGCTCAGGCTGGTCTCAAACTCCTGAGCTCAAGTGATCCCCCTGCCTCAGCCTCCCCAGGCCACTACGCTTTGACTCAGACTATTTTCTTTTAAACTCCAGAGGCAGTAGATTCTGAGATCTAATCTAATAAATCTCCCTTCTTGCTCACAAAGCAGACATTTGCTACCTGCCCTGTACCAGTACCTGAAGTAGCAGGGGGTGGATAACTATACTGACCCCCTCTTACAAACAGGGAAAACAATGGGTCCTAGGGCGTGGGGAACCAATCTGATTCCTGCCCCACCCTGGGCCTCCTAGCAAAGAGGAGGGTGCTGCTAAAGTTCTCCAGTGGTGCCCATTGCCCTTAAAATAGAGACCACACTTTTGTGGGGGTTTTTTCTGTGTTGCTGTTGCTGTTTTTGCATGCTGAGGAACCACTACGTTGTTGCTGAGCTAAAACTCAGCTTCCTAGGATGCCCACCCACCCAGGGAAGCTTAGTGACTTTATTACTCACTCTCTGGCAGCCCCAGACACTCTGCCTGAGGATCTTGGCTCTTTCTCCTCCCTTTTCCAGGAATTCTCTTTTCTCCGACTCACCGGCCCTCAGATCTGTTCTCAAAGAGCAGGGCAGGGCTGGCCACATCTGCCCTCTTGGCTCTCTGGGAGGCTGAGGCAGGAGGATCACAAATTTGAGTCCAGCTCGGGGCGACTTAGTGACTTAGCAGGACCCTGTGTCAAAGAAAGTAGAAAAAAATGGCTTGAAATGCAGATCCGTGCAAAGGCCCTGGGTTCAGTCCCCAATCCTGAAAGAAAAAAATCTGTCACCAAGATGCGCTGAGTTAATCATTCTGTTTTGTTTTAGTCAGAACTCTTCACATCCGTTAGTAATTATCTTGTTTGTGCAGGAGGATTTTTTTCTCCACCAGGCACGCTTCAGTGAGACCTCTGCCTGGGTCAAGGCTGGGCTCCCTGGGCCAGCCTGGGCAGCGCTCAGCGCCATGCACCACTGCCAACGTGACTGACCCCGCCCCCTCCTCTCCTTTCCTCCCAGGCGTCCACGGCGACCTGAAGGTGCTTGCGTCGCCCCCGAAAGCCACGCTAGCTCAGGGAGGCTCCATCCAGGTGAACTGCAGTTTCTCGGGCTGTGACCTCAAGGATTTTGTGCTGGGCCTAGAGACCGACTTCTCCAAAGTCTTGGTCGACTCCGGAACCAACTGGAAGCTGTTCAGTCTGAGTGACATTAACAGAGACAGCAATCCCATCTGCTACCTGAGCTGCGGCTCTGGGCGTCAGACGACCGATGTGGTCTCCCTCACGGTTTATGGTGAGTGGCCGGGCCGGGGGTGCTGGCCCCGGGAGACGGGCTCTACCAGTGAGCTACACCCCCAGCCTGTGCCTCTACGTTAACATAGACCACAGCCCTGGGTCCTGTGTTTTCAAAAAGAGAGATGCTCTGGGTATGTGGTGCAGGTCTGTAATCCCAGCTCTCAGGAGGCTGAGGCAGGAGGATCGCCACGAATTTGAGGCCAGCTTGGGCTGCATAGTGAGTTCAAGTCCAGCCTGGCTGAAACACATAATGAGACCCTATCTCTAAATAAATAATAAGAAAAAAGAAAAACACAGGGCTGGGAATGTAGTGCCATAGTAGAGCAACCCTGGGTCAGTACCTGGTACCAGAAAAAAAAAAAAAAAAAAAAAGATGCAAATGAAAACTAGCCCCGAGATGACATATTTCACATATTGGCAACAAACAAGAGAGTCACAAGCTGGGCAGAGTGGCGCACACCTGTAATCCCAGCCCTTGGGAGGCTGAGACAGGAGGGTTGCTGGGAGTTCGAGGCCAGCCTGAGAGAGAGGTGATAGCAGCTATGTTGGGGCAGGGTCAGCTCTCCAAGTGACATATGCAAGAGTCCTGTGGCATGAAGCTCCAGCCCTGGGCATCAGTCCTATCTGGGTCACTCCCACAAGGGAACTGAAGGGAAGCTGGGTGGGGTTTTTTTTGGGGGGGGTGGTACTAGGGATCGAACTCCGGTCCTTGTGTTTGCAAGGCAGGTGCTGAAAGCTCGGTTTTTAAATTTTTATTTTACTTATTTAGCTGTTTCGGGTATCAAACCTGAGGCCTTGTGCACACTAGGCAAACACCCTACCACTGAGCTACGTCCATAGCCCACACTAGGCCTGTGTTGAAGAACGTAAGGCTGAAGGGCACTCCAGGGAAAAGGGCTGGGGAGATAAAGGGCGGTCTGGCCATCCGAGGAATGTCGCCTATGTGTGGGAGGCGAGGTGGTCTGAGGTGTGCCAGAACTTGAAAAAGTAAACTATGCTGAGCATGAATGGCATGCTGCTTAGGTGTTAGCAGGTGCCAGGGCCGGGAGGGGGCTGTCTGTCTGCCCAACAGAGAACCCTGGGCCAGTCTCAGGGTGCAGGGCTGTAATATCAGCACTCGGGAGGCTGAGGCAGGAGGATCCCGAGTCTCAGATCAGCCTGGGCAATTTAGCGAGGCACGATCTCAAAAATAAGTTTTTTAGGCTCCTGATGAACTGGATATAGTGGCACACATCTATAATCCTAGCACTCAGGAGGCTGAGGCAGGAGGATCACCAGGAGTTCCTGGCCAGCCTGGAACACATAGAGACCCTGTCGCCAAAAAAAAAAAAAAAAAAAATGCTCTTAAAAATGGAGAAAAAAAATAAAGTTGAGAAGGTACAGCATAGTCTTATTTTATTTGCTTATTTTTTATGGTGCTGGGGTGGAACCCAGGGTCTGCAACATGCTAGGCATGTGGTCACCACTGAGCTTCACCCCTGACTCACCAAGAGTCTTCTTTTAAACAATGTCTAGCTGGGTGTGGTCCACTTGGGAGGCTGAGGCAGGAGGATTGCCTGGAGTTCTAAACCGGCCACATAGCAAGACCCTGTCTCAAAAAGACAAAATACACTCAATGAAAAAAAACAACAAAAATACAAAATACAGGGCTGGGGATTTAGCTCAGTGGTTCTGTTGCCTGCCTCTAAAGCACAAGGTCCTGAGTTCAAATTCAGAACCAAAAAAAAAAAAAAAAAGCCATGTGTAGCCAGCCACCCGAGCTGCTTACCCTACTTATTGGACCAGGTGCCTGGGAGACAGCTTAGAAGTTCTTTTCCACTCTCAGTTCCGCACCCTTACAGCACTCCTCTGGGTTTCCCCGAAGTTCCTGCCATTTTGCCATTCCTGTTTACTTAGGTGGCTGGCTGTTTGGGGAGAAAGTCGGGTGCGAGCGGGGCTTTCTGCGGCACAGTTTAAAGGACACTCCCTGTCCCCCGTGTCCCCACAGTGCTTCCGGAGGAGGTGGAGCTGGGCCCCCTGCCGTCCTGGCAGCCAGTGGGCGAGAACCTCACCCTGCGCTGCCTCGTGGTGGGTGGGGCGCCCCGGAACCGGCTCACGGCGGTGCTGCTCCGGGACCAGGAGGAGCTC